CAACATCTTTCTGCCTTCAGTCGACCGATACATTCACAGGATAGCTTTATTAGGTGCACCAATCGGTGCTAGTATCGGGTTGGTTCCCGTTTTGCCTTCAGAATGGTCTTAATTCTTCATGGCAGAGATTCAACAAGACGCTGGAAACATTCCAGACATGTTGACATGACAGCATCACACAGGTGCTGCAGATTAGGCAGCTGCATGTCCGAAATGCAAATATCCCATTCATATTCAAGAAGCCAGTCTGAGATGATTTGAGCTTTGGGTTATCCTCCTGGATCCTGGGAACGGGAAGGTCATCAACAATACTGCTGTGTAGGCTGTGGCTTTTAAACAAGTCTGCCAAGAAAACACCCCAAATACCATTACACCACCACCAGCCTGAAACATTTATATAAGGCAGGTGGGATCCTACCATCCGAAAGCTGTAGCAGGAATTGATTGACACTGAAATGGCAGCAGATCAGCTGTTTCTGAAATACTCGGAGTGGCCTCTGCATCATCAAGAATCACTTCTCTTAACAATTCTGATGCTGGATTTGAACTTCTGCAGGGCGTCTTGTGTTAAACAGCAGCTGAACAGGTGGAAACACACAATCGCTAAACTAAGTTGAGAAGTGTTTCTTACTTTTCCAGTGCAGACATGATCAGGGGAGGAAGCACCAGGATTGGCATGGGCATGACTACTCTGGTCAGGGCCGTCTCCAAGAGAGCCTGCATAAAAAAACATAAACCAGGAATATTAAAAAATACAAATAAATTTGCTTTGAATCTGGGAAACAATGCACGAATACTGAGGTGTGAAAGCAAAACACTTAAACTTTAAATTGTTTGCTATTTAAAAGCATTATAGTGCATATGTTGCTAAACAGCAATACCAATAACATGATCCATATAATCTTCAGAGCTGAGGACATACATGCCTGGCAGCTACTCTTGATGTTCCCACTACGTTGCCGTTGTTGTCGAGCACGCTGATGCCCTCTGACAGCTCAGAGTGTCTCATGAGCACCACGTTGCAGACATTTGCACTCGCTGTGAAGACAGAAGAAAGTTTTTTAAGATCAAAGGGAAACGTGCCACTAGGGATGTAACATACAGTCATATTTGGAATGAGGAAATCGTGATGTTATGGACAGAGATAGAAAAGGTTTTTTTTAAAAGCACCGTTTTGACAGCCTTAAAAGTAATCAGTCTACTAACTGATAAACAGGTTTTCTATGAAGACGCCCACTGGAAAAGGGAGGTTTGATTTCCTTTTATAAGTCCTATAAGGATGAAGGACTAAACTTTGTTTGTTCTGAACTGCATGGATGGATTCAGAAGTTGCACATATTCTTTTTCAAGATGTAAACTCCACATCAGTGTCCTGTGATTATTAAATATTTGCTCAAAAATAATGAAGCTTCTTGGCTCTAAGGATGGTAATATCAGTCAATGGGTCACATGGCTGGGTCCACCACTTTGATGAAATTCAGAGTGACTAACCTCTGGCGCTGACTTTTCCTCTTGGATTTCTACGAGCGTGACCTTTTGTTTTCTTGTGAAATATATTTAAAAATCTGGACTGACATTAAATTTACTACAGACCCTGATGCGCTACAATAACTTTGATGAGCCTTTAACTTTTTATCATGAAGTGAAAAATCATCATTTGTCCAAAATGTTGTAATGTAAGAATCAGCATAAAACTAACTATAGAACTGGCAGCAAGGCAGTAAAACTGCAAGGACACTCAGCTGCCAACAAGAAATAATAATACTTTAACACACAGACTGATTAAAAAAAAGAAACTTACAATACCCGTACATAATGTTTCTTTCAAATTATATCATATAAGGCTCGAATCATCACTTATTTGTTTCCTTTTTGCTAGAAAAATAGGAAATAACTGCAGTGTGTACATGCAAACATGTGCAAATATACACAGAAATACAGTATATTAGGCAAAAACAGAGTTTGTACAATTCTAATGACATTTAAAAGTCAGTATTTGGTGTGACGTCATTTATTCTCCAACACAGGCTGAACTCTCTTAGGCACTCTCCCCACTGACTGTAGCCCCAAAGCTTGGCAGAGCCTCCGCCGTGCTTCACAGATGGCTACAGACACTCACTGTTGTACTTTTCTCTCGATCTCCTCCGTCCACACTGACAATGACTTGAATCAGACTTAAAAATTGCTTTCATCACTCCATGAAGCCTGTTGCCACCAACTTTCAGTCCAGTTCTTGTTCAGTTTGTCATACTTCAGCCTGTTCTCCTTGTTTACTTTCCATAAGAACAATGACAGCCACCCGTCTTTCACTGACACATGGATCAGCTGACGCGTTGGCTGTATCACTCAGGTCCCGTGTGAACCCTTTGCTGGATTTTTTCCTATTTCTTAAGGATATAATTTTCAGATACTGTTAATCAGCTGTAGACATTTTTTAGGCCTGTCACAGTTTCCTCAAATTTTTTGAAGTCACACTGCACGCCACGCTGCAATAGGCCAAGCTGTTGACTCTCTGGTAATCACCTATTACTCAAGATAATTCATTTTAAAAGATATAAAGAAATGAAGCGTGGCTCAAGACTTGCACAAGACTATTCTTTCAAATGAAATAACCTATTAACTACATTAACTCAAGGATTGGCACTAGACCTATAACACAGATAAATAATTTCTGTTTGCATATTTACATTAAATATCTACAACTGCATGTTATTTGCACATTTTTGGTTACACAATAATGTTAGATGAGCAGCCTATCATTGATCTACAGTCCATTTTAACACATCAGGATATGCAATTAGGTCAGAAAACACCACAGCTTAAGAAATCGCTTTTGCCCTTGTTCCCTCCTGTAAGGAAAATCATCTCTTGTAAAAGAAGCTAACAGGCTGAACTGACATTGTTATGAAAACTCCAAACTGCCAATTACCAGCGCTGAGTGTCCCTGTGGAAGACACTGAACTCCTGTTTACTCTTCTCACTCCTCAAATGAAGAACATTATTGCCATGTCATCGTGTCAGCGTTCAGAAAACTGAAGCCGTGCCTCTGCGAGACTCTGACACACAACAGTCAGATCACAGAGAGGCTGGCAGGTTGACAAACAGCGGCGTTGCTTCCCTCTGATTATTCACAAAAACTAAAATGAACACAAATGTATGTTAATATAGATTAACCTTTCTTCTTGACTCTAATAGGAATAAGACAAACTCATTTTAGAGAGTTTAGTGGTGCTGCCCCGAGCCTTTTTAATTTAAGACAACAGCGTTCAGAGTTATCTCTACTAAAGGCCGCAGGGCTGCCAGGTCGCTTTGTGAGGGGAATTCAATTGACTGAGCAAATAACTCTTTTTACCTATAAGGGATTTTTTTACCCAGACCAGTTAATAATAAAAAGGGACGAGGAACAAGCAGGAACAAACACTACAGTTAAATAGAAACTCTTAAACACATAAATAAAAGCATCAAAGTTAAATTACTAAATTAAATTGATAAAATGCAAAATCTGCACAGCTTAATGTTGAAATATCTGCCTGTCATTTGTAATTATTTAAAATAATTACATTTGTGTACATTTTAATCATCATCTCATAACTGGTGGTACACTCACAGAAATACATCCAAGAATTTTTTTGTACATAATTACTTTCTAAATATCACAAATAATGACAAATAAGACAACAAATAATTAACCCCCTAAATTTCTGCCAGCGTGGCTTTCCCTCCAGTTAAGGTCTTCATAATCTAATTGAATGACAGGCCGCCGCTTGATTAGGTTATTACAAATAAATCTAGCCTTAAGTAAGCAAACAAAATCAAATGGGCGAAAATTCAAACGGCCCTTTGCTTTCGTTCGCTTCAATTAGCCATTTTAATTACCTCTTATATTGGCCTAGCAAAACAACAACAGGAACAACAATGAACAAACAGAAATCAGGTAAATGAGGCCTTGACATAGACGCCACTTTAAGGGTAATTATCCAATTTGTTTGCGGCAGCAGAGTTCTAACAAGCAGCCAATTACCAGGCAAAGGCTGCGCTGTAGAAACCTGTTGATTTAATTAGAAGAACCGCCATGGTAAGGAAAGGGGGGGGCAAGCAAACAATTTAATTATGAGCCAGCAGCCCGGGGCATTCTGGGACACGGGTCTATACCCCTGGGTGTGATTGTGTTTGCGGGAGAGTGGCATGAAAATCAGCTTTGTGGCTGCACACACAAAGCCGGCTGTCAACGCAACGGTAAGCCTGCAGAGAGGAGAGCGGGCGGAGGGGAGCGGCGTGAGACAAAAATCGCTCTATTTAGCTTTCATACAGGGAATTATTGTGATCAGAAAACAGCTTAAATAAAAAGGTATAATATATCAAGAGCAAGGAAAAGAAAACAATCAGCTTGTGTGTGCGTTTTTTTAAATATACCTTTTAATAGCAATTATTGCAGAGCTGTTAGCCAAAGGCGTTTCATTTGTTTCTATAAAACCCCCAATTGTTTTATTACTATTACTAAAAAATATCTAAGCTATGACATTTACTTGAAATGTCCATCCAGGGCTTAACCCTTCTCTGTCCCACGAGAAGCTCACCTGACTTTTTACATTTTTATTTAACTTACCCACTGCTGGGAAGGGGATGAACCTCTGCACCAAAAGCCTGGTGGTTGGGCTGAAGCGGCTCGCTCTCTGGATTAAAACGTTTAACCCAACCTGAAGATAAACCAGACACAGATGATATGATCAGACACTGTGTGTGTGAAAAGCCAGCACAGAAAATTTGGAATTCAGAGCTCTTTCTTTCAAAGGGGATGAGCAGAGCACGAGAACAGCCACCACCAGGCTTAAACATACAAGCATCAGAAAAAGGATCACTGGGAGAAAGTGGACTAAAATTATGGGCAATGTGTTTAAACATTTGATGAACGTAACTTTGCAGTGTTTTAACATTTCAGATTGGTGCATTCAAAAGGCTATATTCGCTCAAATAACACACCACCACGCCACTTCATCCTCCAGCTCCCTCTAGCCCTGCGGGGGGTCGTCACCAGAGCGGACGTTTAATTGGAGCGTGCCTGCCCCCCTCCAGGGATGTCGTACCAAACTCCAGACACCCCGCAATTTCTTTCTGTGCTTGCTGCCATTGTCAAGCCTGAGGGCATCAGCCGGATGAACACCCAGCAGGACCAGTAATTGGCTTGGTTGGAGCTCCTTGTCCACACTAAGGGTTGTGTCAGGCAGGTGTGTGAACGGGTATTACGCCCCTATGACATTTTATTCTGTGGTGACATAGAGGTAAGAAGAGAGGTTTAAGTGATTGGGATATTATGAAGTCTGCTTTTTTTATAGTTATGTTGATATCCACCTTATTTGAAATTTTGCCATTTTGGATATTTGGTGTTTAACTCAAGAAGTAATGCGGTGAAAGACCACATGCTGAAACTGCACAGAAGCCCAGATTACCAATATTTTCTTCTGTTATCAAGGTGGTTACAGGAACCCTTCGTTTAGTGTATGTAACAGACAAATTAATAAATAATCTGCAAAAAAAAAAAAGGCTTATTGGACATTTTTTTCCCCATCTGTGGGTAATGAAGGGATTACAAAGACCTGCTTCTATACATTGTTCCTAGTTTCAGTGAATTATCAGTTAACCTGATGGATCCTTAGATGTCGAATGAGACTAATACTACTATTTGGTGATTTTCAAAGTCCTTTATAATGGCCGATATAATCAGAGATTTTTTTCAGACACAGCACATACACAGATCCCGCAAATAGTTGTTAATGAGTCTTTAGTCCACAACAAATCATGGATTTCTCATTTACATTACTTGGATCAGCTGGTTGTTGGGATTGTGGTGTTCCAAACATTTGTTGCCAGCAGGGAAGTTGCACTGTTTTGGTAGAAAAACTATGCAACATCAACACTCATGCCAAGGTTGAAGGCTTTACTTTTTTGGTTTTTCCTTTATCAGTCAACACAAGTCAACACAAGATTTGCTGGGACTTACAGCAATGGACACTGCACTGGTAACCGCCCCAAGGTATCCCAGCAGGAACTTGGAAGCTGGAGCTGGCTAAAGTGGCAGAAAACAAGAGGAGACAACATTATAAAAGCACTTTAGCTGAGCAACAGAAAAAGGCATTTGTAATGTGTGTAGTAATGGGCCAGCTGGGATGCCATGCAGGTACAGTACCTTGGAGGCATTGCGGTTGCTGTAGTTAACACAGGCATTGTGACTTTGGTTCAACCACTGCCGTACAAAGGAGAGGAAAGGGAAAAGTATAGTAAGATGTAATAAACTGCGATAATAATAAGTTTCATTTAAGGTGATTCTCCTGTGCATTTAAAATCAGCTAAAAGAAGCATGTTAACCTACAGGCTCAGCCACTGGCTCTATCAAGCATACGAGCAGAATCAGTGACAGAAGAGACTCCGTTATTTAAACAGTGGCAGCCTCTGTCTCACACCACCCGGATTTCTTATAATTAATTCTTAATTTATTCTATTCATTATTGTTTCTGCTTTTTTAAAGCATTTTCCATTAATCCCGCAGCTTTACAACTGATCATTCTTAGTTTTATCAAAACAAAATCACATCATAGTCAACACTTGCTCATTCGTTGTTTTTCTTGAGGCACTGCCTACAGCATATGTGCCATGTTTACAAAGTGAAGTAATTTAGAAAACCAAACTTGTACTACGCCAGAGATGAATTTCGAAGAAATACCTGCCAGAAGACGGTAGATGCAAGTGTTTGATTAGGGAGAAGGAGGCCAACAACCTGCAAAGAAAGAAAGAAAGAAAGAAAGAAAGAAAGAAAGATTTCATAAAGGAAAATCAATAACTTATTATTATTATTTGTAGCATTGGTATTGTATGAGTGTGTGCTTTGGAAAAACAGAGTTTATGAAAACCACTCTTACCACTGGTGTGCCAAACGGGATAAAACCTGGTAAAAGATGATCAGTATTACCACTCTTACAATTTCGCCTCTACCCTTTTTCTCAGATTTACTATAAATCTATTCTTTTGTGCAGAAATGTCCAAGCCCTTCAAAAAACACTGTTCTCTTCTTTCTAACTTTGGATCATGAGGCCAGTTCCTATTGGTCTGACATTCATGTGGTATGTTGGTAATTACATGTTAATTGCTTCTGTCCTTTCCTTCTTTTCTTTGTTCTCACTTCCACTACGGTCATCCTACAAAAAGGGTGCTTTCAAACTGAACCAAAGTGCTAGCATTTGCTTCTTCACAAACCCCAAGTAGATCTCTGTCAGCACAGCAGAGAGGTTTTAATCAGCGCCCAGCTGAGCGTGACCTTTTCCAGGCCTGAGACAACCTGAAGAGCCCTGTTGAGCCATGACAGTCTCTAAGGTGAAGACGCCTCCGTATTGGACCACTTAAAAGCCCCGAGATTCCCCTCCACTCCAAAGTTTCCACTCTTAGATACGCTACCTGACATCCGAAAAGGCATGAGGATCTTCTCCCCTGTGTCGGGGTGGATGATGGCCTGTAATAAGTGCATAATGATAACAATCAGACAGTAATGAGCACCGAATGATTTGGGTTAAGTCAGTTCATATGACTTATAAAGAGAGCACTGCTGTGAAAATAACTAAAAGAAAGTTACTGCTCAGGGTATTTAATATTAACTTGAATATATAAAAACCACTGAGAAAATGGTTTCAAATCAATAGATTAACCAGTTATTGCTAATCTACTTATTTATTTACATCACTCATTTAATCATATTTCAGGAACAATGCATTGCACTTGGGGAGCTTTTGAAAAATAACCTTACTCCTTTGACAAATATAACAGTTTGACATGTTTGCAGTAATTCAACAAAATTCAACAAAAGTTGTTATCTTCACAAGTAAAAGAAAAATAGTGACTGAGTTGTCGGATACAGTATAACGCTTTAAAGCAAGCCAAAAGTATTCACCACAGAAAAAGCTCCCTTTAAGAAGCTAAACATGCTAATGCTAATGTAAAATACTTGGAATAACAATATGCTGATGCATAAAAGTACGAAACACCAGTGTCATTACCAATTGTGGGGTGCCGTAGAAACCGAACCCTAACATTTAACACAATAATTCAAATTCAAATTCATATGTACAACAAATCTAATTTCTGTTATGGTTTGGGTAGCGAGAGCTATCGTTTTTAGCATGTTAGCATGCTATCATCTTCTAATTTATATTAAAACACAAAGTAAAGTTGAACCAGGCAGTTTTCATGGACAGTTAAGGGATGTCTAGTGAATGAAATTTATCCTGCAGACTGCCTGCACACACTGTCAGCTGAATGTACGAACTGGTTGCAACCACATCCAATGGCTTAATTAACTCCCCCGAAACAGGGAGCAAATTTTAACAGCAGTCTTTTCAGCTAGACTAAGGTACGAGGCATTTTCAAGGTTTACCTTCTCATCTACCACACAAGAAAGCATTTGATCAGTTTCAGAGTCATTCTACAACATTACAACAACTTAACCAGACGGTCAAAGTGATAAAGAACCACAGGAAGGACCAGCAACGATTCCAGTGTCACTGAGTGAATCTTGGATGACATAAAGAGACAGAAGCAGCCAAAAGGAATTATGGCAGGTATTTCTAGACAAATAGGAGACTAACTTTAGAAAGCCCATTTACTTTTAAATGATTTTAGAAGGATTGTGGGGTGTTTTTTGTCAATTCTACACAAATATTCAAGCAATTACACCAGACATTATCCCGTCAGTTTGCTATTCCCACTGTTACAAAGTAGATAAGACAGATGATGTGTCTTTCCCCCACTGCCTTAACACTGATCAAATCTGCAGATTGGAAAAGAACGAAAGCGATTACACTGCTTCCTCAGGCTCATGGAGCCAAGCTTCGACTTGTGAAAGACCACATACGTACATGTGATAGATATACCACTATCATGGCTGAATATAGATTTTCCTCTTAGTCTTGAATGAACTTGGGATGCAGTAAGAAAAATCTGGAGACTAGTTTAAACTATAATGATCTACAAACTACACAAAGAGTTCTAGGTCTTTAACACTCAGAAAGAGTATAAACCTTAGAAGCACATAAATAAGGCAAGCACCATGCTGAAGGATAGGTCGGTTTTGGGGAGTTTTGGCAGTTGACAACCCTGAAACCCTGCAAGAGCACCAACTGTTTCATGTTCTCATACAAAAACAAACCTGGACGTAAGCCAGCCTTCAGTGTTCATATGGAGCCCAGTTTGAGCCGGATTTGGTTTCATTCCTGCAGAGTGTGAAATTGTTTATGTAGACTGAACTGCATATCCTACACATGAAATGGAAGCAATAGCAACCATAATGATAAAAGAAGAGTTACTTACTTAAGATTTGTCTGAACAACCCTTTATACACACATTAAACCTGACCCAAAGACAAGTTTATGTCGACAAGATACATACTTTAACGTAAAGTCCACTGCATCCCATCCGTGGTTTAGAAAATTAGTTCTAAAGATGAGAGGATACTTATGGTTCATCTGTATTTAGAGTGTTTGATTAGATCCTTAAATACACATTTTAGTGTCGAGTTCAATATGAGCAAAAACTGAGATGTAACAGCTTTTAATTTTTAATTTTCCAATGAAAATGCACATTTTATAAATGAATAAGGTGGACGTGGGAAGTCATAAGATTTAAACAGCATCTACATGAAAGAAATGCCAAACAAAGTACAAAACTAATTTCACAGTGCTGACATTGCACTTAAAAATACATTCATTAAATAATTCATCTATTCATTACATTAATTAAGTTTTATTAAGGTGAGGCATAAATATCAAACATATAAATCTCTGGCAGTGTTGGACGTTGGCAGTTTGTAAATAGATATTAAAACTTTAAATAATTTTCTCCCACTTTAACCGGCTGCACCTGTAGTTCAACGACTGTCAGCCGTCTTGCAGAGCTGGCACTTCCAGCTAATTAACACTGGAGGTAAAACCGCTCGCCTGCTTCAGTGTCTAATTTTAATGTAGTTACTTCAACATGGAAGCCTTTTTTAATGTTGTTTTTGTACACTCTTTGGTATATTTGCGGTATAAGCACGTAACACCAGTCAAACCTTACCCGCTTCGAATGACGTTACTTTTTTTTGGAGTGTTTCACTTAGATTGGACCCAATAATGACATTATATAGAGATGGATCGTATTTCATCTGCTTCTCTTAATAGACAAAGTAAGCAAAAACAGAGAAATCTTACCTGCTTTATTTTCTGGGCTTGCCAAAGCTGTAAAATAAAATAAATAAGAAAAAGTAGAAAGTCTTTCAATGCTTCTGCGTTTAAGGGGGATAGTTTGTCTGTCTACAATATAGTTTGCAAATTTAATATGTAAAAGAAAATTACATTAAAAATTACATTTAAAAAATGATGAAATTTCAATTATTATATTTTGCAATTATTAACAGGACTGTACGGTTAATAATATTGTTGAAATTAAATTAATTAAAAAGACTAAATTTGGTTTATTTTTACAATTAAAATTGTTTGTAGTACATCAGCTATTGCAAAAGCAGTAGACTTGAAAAGAACAGATATTTCAAATTTAAATATTTCATCTGAACGTTTAAACAATTAAAAATATTGACTGTAAATACCTCCTTAGATAAAATAGAAGGTTAAGTATATTCACAGAGTCTGCTTCACAGAGAAATTACTGTACAACTAATAACGAATAAGTTGCTTCAACGGTGTAAATAAAAACTAATTATTAAAATGTTGCAACAATATAAACTTCGTTCATACCATAAATATTTCCCTGGCACAAACATTAAAGCAGCTGTTTTTGATTTAGCATTCAAAGGCCGGTTAGTGCCTGCAGTGCACAGATAATCCACTCAAGGGCAGGAGACACATGTCAGACTGCACAGAAGAGGCTTTTCAGAAAGGTTTGCAGCATTTCAGATGCTGAATTCTCACAAACTGATGTTGATGTGAGTTTTCAACTCAAGCTGACGCATATTTACCTGAGCATCCGTCACTCCCAGAGGCAGAGTTCCTTGCTTGAAATGGTCAAGCAGCTCGACGCACTCCCACAGCCGTTTCTGATGTGACGGAACATGAGAGTCAATAAAATGTGAAACCAAGTCTGGCCACTCTCGCCTCTATGTCAGCTTAGATGTGTATTTACACTCCTGCTATAGGCCTCAATGTGTGATAATTATGTTTTACTAAAACCTCCGTGATGATTTTCATGTGACAAATGAGTTCCCTAAAAGGTAATGAGGAGCTTACTGTGGTGTGATCATTGTGTAATATGGAGGAAAATACAAGGTCATGAGGCCCAATTTGTTCTAATGAGCTCGCCATCTGTGTGTGTATGTGTGTTCACGTTTCTGTAATTGTGCGTGTCAGTGTTAGCCGTGCACTTTTTCTTTTTTTTTTTTACTGTATGCACAGGAGGTCATGTGTGCGTGCGACCGAAGGCAAATCAGGGCTGTCCCTGTTCCACTGTCTGCATTAGGGGCAAGTTGAGGCGATGCCTGGCCCAGCAAGGTGTCATGTGTATCAGTGTGGGTGTGGGTGAGTGTCTAAGCATATGCACTTTCCACCCCTCCCAGCAGCCCCATATGTCCACACCTCATCACATCCCGGGAGGTACTGCAGCTATTAGTGTCACCAAAGAACCCACTAACAGCTTCATTACCCAGAGCACTAGAGCTGTGATGGCTCCATGAGCAAAATTACCACAACACAACCAAGAACTGTGGAAATGTTGCAATGAGCAGAGCAGCCTAACATTTACAGAGAATATCCTGTAACCTAAAGGTGGCACATTTGCTGGCAGTAGCTGAGAATCCTTCATTTTAATTATACCTTTGAGGTTTTCTTCCTTTAATTCAACACCTCCTTCAGTAAATTTTGGCTAATGTTGAATCCCACAAGATTATTGTGCTGCCGTTTTAGCCCAGCTAGGAAACCACTGCGGCTATATAAAACCTGACTTCTCTAAAGATCACCATCACAGATCATCTAATGGAGTTTAATGTCATTTGTATGCAGATATTGTGATACTGTGGCTAACTTGGTAAATAAGCAACCCACGCATGTGATCCATGTAACAAATCCAAAGGTTTGTTTACCTCTGTCACAAAGAGCGTGCTGGGGTCAATCACGTCCAAGAAGTGCCTGAACCGGCCAAAAAACGTGTTCTGAGAGACAAACGAAATGCACATTCATTCATTCATATACAAAGCAATTGTTAGCAATATTGTTTTTTTATTTAAAGACCAAACATTAAACTGCAGATGCAACTTTAAATATATAATCAGTGGAAAAATCCTGATCTGGAATGTATAAGTTCAGAAAGTCCAACTTTCCACCCAGTCTGCATATAAATTGTTGATCAATTATATGCAGCCAAATCATGATTATGAATCGAGAGCCATGGAGATTCCAGCTGTCGCCCAGTAAACAGCAATATTACCGCTCGCCAGCTGTTTAAACACGCCAGGTGGAGCCTCCTCATTAATGCCAGAGACAAACTGTTTCCTATCTGCATCTTTTGCACACTCGAAACTACTCACACCGTTTTGCAATTAATTCTAATAACGACTGTGCCAGAAATACCTTTCGAGAATTTATTCATAACCGAGCATAAGGAATAATTTAGGGGAATCAGCAACGCGCCACGCAGCCTCGAAAGCCTCCTATCCCTCCCTAACTGGAGTTTAATTACACTAACTGCTAATTTGGATGAAAATCTGGTATCTGACTCACTGCTGTGCCTCGTGACTTCCTGAACATATGGATGGTTTGTACAAACATGGCACAGGGGAAAAGTTGTTAAATCTGGTACATTCAATTACCCACCAGTGCCACTCCAGTTTGACCAGTTTGAGTCGATACTCAAGTGGAACAGACTTGTCTCAGCTTTACTGGAAGGGTAACAGGGGCTTAATCTTATCATTATGTTGTATCAGATCCTAATTTATGAAGACGCAGCCTTTTGAGTTGGTTTCCACATTTCAACTTCGTCTGAAATTCCACTTTCAATGGAGTAAACTTAACAGTTTTAATAAAAGAAAATTCAAAAAAATATCTCCATATAATAATTTCACAGGATCAAAATAGGGAATGCTGGAAATTCAATTTTTCCACAGTTCATGCCATACCGTTATACCGGAGTACAGATGGAGACCTCCCCAACTTAGACCAATAGAGTTGGAGTTAAATGCAAATCACCTCAGTGATGGTTAAAAAACTATGAAAGCACAGAAATTAGAGCTACCAAAACAAATAACCATCCTCTGGAACAAGAGATTAAGCTTTGGTCTTTTTCAGGACATTGTCGTAAACCCTACAGAAAATTCCCAGCAAACCAGTACTTTCTAAAATACTCAGACCAGCTCACCTGGCACTCAAATCACCGTTCGTCCTCATTCAGAAAATTAGTTTATGAGCAGAGAACCTGCCTACATGGCAAAATGCATGTGGGCTAATCACATATTTGTGTTGACCAGCAGTTGGACAGGTGTACCTAATAAAGAGGTTGGTGAGTGTATACATCTTATGTTCTTCTTTTTCATTTTTACTGACTCAATATATTTGTGTACAAAAATACCATAAATTGCTGTAAATGTATATTTATAGCAGACTAAAAAGTGTATTACACAATAAATCTTCATTTTCTGCTAAAACTTAACTGATTCACCTGGGCGATGGTTTTTGTTACATGTGGCTTGTGGTGCTGAACCGCTATACCCCATATAGAGAGCCGTTTATGACATTTGTCTCATTTATCTAAATGAGGCATATAAAAAGTCAGACACCAAAAGAAGGTCGTACAGTTCAAACTGATAAAGTAATAAACATTTCTCTGAAAGAGCCTCGAAGGTGCAGGCTTGTGTGTATTCGCTTTTGGGGGCACTAGGGTTGAAATATAAAAGGCTAACATAAGATGGAATAAAAGCATATCTCATGGGATACCTGTATGATATCAGCTGACCTGCATATTTTCTGTTAGCACATACAGTGAGGGTCAAAAAGCATTTGAACAACAACACAGTATTTTGCAGTTTTAGCTCTGTGTGCCTCCACAGTGGATTTAAAATCAAGCAATCAAGGAACTATTTAACAATTACAGATATTTTTCAGGAGCTAAAAGCTTGTTGGATCAACATAATTTGAAATAAAATGACTGTTTTTAATACTTGGATGAAAATCCTTTGCAGTCAGTGACTTTCTGAAGTCTAGAATCATTGAAAAATATTCAGTGTCTCTGACTCGCTGCTTTCGATGATTTTCTGCACTGTAAATCGCTTTCTGATCAGTTTTGCAGCATTTGTGCCGAATCGGAGCACAGAGTATATCCCTGTATACTTCACATTTCATCCTGCTACTTTTATCAGCAGTCATGTCATCAGTAAACACTAGTGACCCGGTTCCTCTGGCAAGCATACATGACCGTGCCATAACATTGCCTCCACCCTGATTGACAGATAATGAGGCATGTTTATCTCCTTCTCCATACTTTCCCTCCCTGCACACTGTAGTACAAATTCATCTTGCTTTCACCTGTACAATGATTGACACCAACCACTGAACAGTTATTTTTAAACCCCTTGAATAGAAGCTGGAAGCCTTGACCTTAATCACATCTTGATTTTAAGTCAAGAGGTGGTGTGCAGAGGCTAAACTACAAAAAGCTGCGTCGCTGTCCAAACATTTATGGACCAGCTGTATATTACAGATTTTTACAAGTTTACCTTTGCTCTTGTGATGCGTTCAATGCCCAACTTCACCTAAAGCCTTTGGGATACAGCTTTAAAAGTCACAAGGCTTCACCTAAAGTTATGGTATGACTTTCATTTCAAAAGCGCAATAAGATATGATATGGTATAATGGTCCTGATATGGGTTTAAGAATCCGCCCGCGGGACAGCGCATCTAACCACACACACGCATAAACACGCTGACACGGTGAGTGGGTGTGGTCTGTTTGCCACGCAAATTATGTCCAAAAAATATATTTTGTTACAAGTGTATCTGTTTATGATCAGATAAAAACTGCAAGTACCTGGTCGAAACGAGACTTGCCATACTGGAAGGGCGGATATTCAGACATGCCGCTTCAAATCACCGCCAGCCCTCTTCTTCTCTGAGATTATTAAATGTTTATTTCTTTCTCACCCTCCAACTAACTTTTACAGCTGTGGGACTGCCGTCAAACAGTCAGCTGGCCAAGTTGCACTGTTGGAAATGTAGTTTTTCCGGTCTGCTTCGCTCTGACAGGACGTGGCTTTAACCCCTTTACAGGATAACTACATTTCCCAGAAGAGCTTGAATTGTTTTCGCCTCTTTTAAAACGGGAGGTTAATGTCGAAAGACCTGCACTGGGTTTGGAGTACAACGGTTAAAAAGAGAAATGTTCTTGGTGAGTGCGAGGTTGCTTGAGCTTATAGAGGATAACATACCCCCTAGTGGTGGTTCTGAGGAGCAAACAGTAGCAGCTTGCATTATACAAATGTGCAACAGGGTAACCCAGCAGGAGTTGGGTTTGGTTTGTAAATTTGAGTTCAAAGTATATGATGTCATGACACACGTGGTTTTTAGAAATTATGCATGCTTAAAATTGCTGGTGACTATGCAGTATTCAGAAGAATATCAGTCCTGGAGGTGTGTGAGAGCATGTACAAAGGATAATAAAACTGCAGGAAAAGATTCAAAAAGGATATAAAAATTTTTTATTGTTAATAGTGAAGAACACTAATGAGTTCAGTGTTCTGGTGTAAAGGCTACGAGAGGTATTGTGAAATCTCCAATAAGATTTCAGCTCCATCTTTTCAGTGTTTTAAGAAGGTGGAACTAATAAAGGCATGACAAATGGGTGAAATCATGTGTATAATATGAGCCCAGTCACTGTCGGTGAAAGGTTCCCAAAAGACAGCGTTCAACATGACATAGCAAGATCACTTGTTTTAATATATCACATTTTATTCAGTTACTACTTTGAAGAATATGCTCAATCTAAAAGAGTCAAACTAGTTAAAGAACTACCTGAATGTCAGGAACATCTATAACTCTGCTGTTTTAGCAGCTTGGAATTGGATGCAAAATTGTAAGAAAAAACCCAGAGTGAAAGATTCTGAGTGTTTTTAAACAATCAGTGGAAATATGGAAAGAAATAATTACCAGAAAACATACGGTGAGCAAGAAACACAAAATATTCTTTATTAAATATACAAAATTTGTGAAACAGAATTGCATCACGGATTGTAAACTTTCCAATCTTACATACTACCTCAAGCACATTCCACCAGCTACACAGTTGAGGAGAAAAATACAATCAGTTTAAACTGAAATGCAAAAAAACCAAAAAACAAAACAAAACCTCTGTAAAATGGAAGACGTGAAAGAGGATGTGCCGAGTCACACGTAATGTGCAGTCTCTACAGTCATCTATGCAACTCGATTTCGCAATCGCACAGCAGGACTGAGACGACGGGATAGGTCCGGATGCTTGTGTATGCTCGTGTATGCTTTGAGCTCACTGGCTAGTTATCTGTCGTGACGTTAAAAGTAGGCCGAGTGCTTAAATCACGGAGCGATTAGAAAGTGCAGTACGGTGTAAAGAAGATCTAACTATACCGATACCAGACAGACAGGTACAGTTTTATTCTGACAGTTAAGTAGTGCAAGAACATCCACAAATGCTGTTAAAAGTGGCATCATATCAGAATACTTTATGGTGTATCACTCTGCTCCATAGATTAAGTTTCAAGGCTTCTTTTTAAATAAATATGTACACACTATATTTTTGGCATTTCACAGGAAATCACTGTTTCTACTCATTTTCTATTGTTATGCATACATTGTACTTTTGTGCAGCAGTGACCTAAACAATATCAAAACAAAGCATTAGAAAAAACAGAGAGAACAGAAAAATATCAGTGAACAGATGGCTTTTCTTTCCCAAAACCTGCCTCGGGCCCCGACAAGTTCAAATGAAGTGCTCGATTCTCAATGAACACCAAAAAACAAAAATAAGGCAGCATTTGGCATTTCAATACGGCATATATGCTGTAGAACGCGGTATATATCCCTTTGTAACACCTGAAAGCTGTAGCGATATGTGTGCTTGAGCAGAAGCATATGTGACACCCAAGACACTGAGGGAGGGAAGTCAAGTACCAGCATGTCGCAGGCATCTTCTTCTTAACGTGGTGTCGAGAACGCACACGTGGGAAGGCAGAAGCATGAGATCAAATAGCTGGGATGGCTGATCCTGATACTGACTGGATACTGAGTGATACTGTCTTCACCTGATAACACCGTGACCCATGCTAGAATCAGTTAGCTTATGTGGCTGAGCATAACATGCCCAAAGAACAGAAAGAAGAAAAGAGGAAAAAAAAGAGGACGGAAGAAGCAAATAAATGGGTGAAAGAAAAAGAAGAAAACACCATTCACTTGCTGGCTAAGAACACTTTTGAACATTCAAAGGCTACAATCAGTTCCCAGTAATGTCCACGTGACAAAGGCTGAAATCTGCTCATTTGGTTTGTAGTTTCAAACACGAGTCAGAGCACTCGGTACTTATCAGGGAACATTAGTAGAGTCTTAATCCAAAACCAAACACGCACACGCACAGACACACACTCTGGAAATAGTGGCACGACTCAAACGTTGCAGAAAGCCATACCAAAAGAAACATATCAGTGGTTTTGCACATTTTTATCATGAATTTGCCTTTTTAGTTCACTTTGCATGATTTCTATTTGAAGATTTCTTCCTTCCTTCCAGATAGCCAGACTTTTGAGATCATTTCAATCAGGTCTCAACTTGCAGACACTTGAAACTTTCCCTCTATTGGAGGAAATGTTATGGTGCCTTTGTTATTTGTTAGCAGTGTTTCCATTGCGTACTGCAGCGGCTGCTGTTGGCGCTTCATTCTGACTCTATACACAGGGCCCAAAAAAGCCAAATCCAACATAAACTTTCACAAGTTTTACACATGAACTCCAGACAATGCAGGAGAAACTGGGTTAGGGGATTGCCCAGTGAACTGCTCAACACACAACAGGAGATACTGCTGCAAATACTCAATGTGGTTTTCCTTCAAATGTCAGGATTTTTAGTCTCTTTATGTCATTTTTGGCTTTTGAACTGGCAATTGAGCTAGCAACATCTCATTGCACTCCATAAAATGGCGACGTTTTCTGTTAATGAGCTACTATGACATGTAACAAGACAACAAAATGCTCACCCTGATCGATCGTGTCTTGAGAGGCTTTGATTTTCATGCCACAAATAGCTGAAACAATGTCTGCCTTGAAAGAGGGGAATCAATCTACTACTTGACTGCATGCTGAAAAAAGGCCAACAACTGATGGACTAAATATGCAAAACCACCAGTATGTCTCTTCAGGTTGCTCTGCTCAAGCTACAAAGCTGCAACACTCACGAGGAAGTGTTGGTGTCGTTTCATCTCGAGTGAGGATATAGTCGGATAAACGTCATGTGGACTGAAACCCTACAATTTTCTCTCTTTTGTGATAAGGTGATAGAAGTGACAGGTGAGGTGAGAAGGAAAATTAATTGTTTTACAATCAAGATCCCAAAATTGAAGCATCTGGGTTTTTTAAACCCACCATCTGGCTTTGTGAACCTGAAAACAACCTGAGGACGCGCTACATTCATAAAACCACTCAGACCAAACCCTTCACCGAGGACGGGTTTCAGTACAGTAAAGCATGCCAGCTGGAAAACGTCGCCTCGACATCTCTCAGTGCCTAAATATTTGTATCAAAAAAGACAGCATAGCAGTGAAAAGACTAAAGAGCTGTTGTGGAGGTTAGAGTGAACAGATGCAACGTGAACTGCAAACCCTCTACCCCCCGCCTGAATTCGTCACTTGAATTTGGAGCGCACTTGCAGGAGGGTGGGCTTCTGCTCCATGATGCGCACCAGCAGTGTGTCAATGTAGTCCTCCAAATCTTTGACCTGCGGCTTCAGTTTCTTCAGCTCCGTCTCCCGCTTGGCCAGCAAAAGTTTCTGACGTTCATACTCCGCCTTCTGCCTCTCCAGCTGCGCCTCGCGTTGCACCAGCAGGTTGACCAGTTCGCTGTGGGTCAGGTGGTAGTATGACCCCGCTCCTTCTGTCAGTGACTTAAGACAAAAAGGGAAAAAAAAGGACAAGAAAGAAATATTAATTTAACAGGTACAGCCTTGTGTCTTTTCATTGCACTCATTACTGAAAGCTGTAGCGATATGTGAGATTCAGGCGTTACATAGCTACCTTGTAGAAAGGAAGTCAAGCTTCCTGGAGATTTCAAAACAAGTTTCTCAAGGTTCAACTACAGGCCCTGCTTTTCCCCCCCTATTTTTATAAAGAATATTGCGAAGGACATGCCTGTTCCTGAACTGCACCTTTATACAGATGATATAATACCCTACTCAGTTAGCTCTTCTCTAAGTCAGGCCATTTAGGAGATCCAGACTGCTTTTGAACTGCTGCAGCCATCATTGCCTGGTTTGAAGTTGCTTCTTAATACTAAGGAAACAAAACCTATGCTGTTCACTCCCAGATCTCGACAGTGGCTAGGACTATACTGCCTCACAGCAAGAAGGTCCTGCGTTTGAATCCACGTATTGGTTGGGGCGCTTCCGTGTTCAGGTTCTCCTTGAGGTTTTTCTCTGAGTGCTAGTGCTTCCTCCCACACTCCAAAGACATCCTGGTTATTCTAAGCTGCCTGTAAATGTGAATGGGAGCATGAAAGCCTTTTTTCTGTCTGTTAGCCCTTTTCATAGACACTCCACCCCTACCCCCGTCTCCCAACCTTAAACTGGATTAGTGGGGAAAAAAAACACAGATGGACAGACTAATGAAATATCCCAGATCTCAAATAATCTCGGTATTCATACGCTAGGAGAAGACTTAGTGTAAAAAGGGTAATCCTACAAATACACGTGTCTTGCTGGATGATAGACTTTTCTTTAACATCATATTGTATACACACTGGTTTTTCTATTATCAGAATAGGGCCTTTTTAAAATTTAGCACTCAGGAAAACACTCGGACATAATATGTTTTTAAAGGTTTTCATTATGATTCTATTATTTGTTCTAGACTTCGTGTATCACAGTTATTTGTATTTCATATCAAATTCATTGTCCAGTACACATTCCCATGTATTTTGTGGTCTAGACAACGTCACTGGTATAACTATATTAACAAATCCGTACTGGATAAGCACCCCCCTTTTTATCTCTTTATTTACTTAACATTACAAAAAGCTACTATGATCTTCACTACTTTAAATATCTCCTCATTAGGGCACTGAGTTTTTTGTTGTTATGTGTTTTTAAGGTAGTAGGACCTGGTTCTCTTATTTTGCACTGTGTTCATGGAATAACTTTCAGAGGACACTAAAGCTGAATGCGTTTGTCTCGCTGGGAGAGCTCAGAACTCTTATAAAATCTTCTGTTACTACAAAGTACAATTCTTATAACGTAAGCCATTTTATTTTATGTTAGTAGTTTATTTCAATTTTTTTCAATTTTTTTCAAACACTGTACCTTCTTCCTTTCGCCCTCCTGCTCCGTCAGCTGGCTGCTCCTTCCGTGGTGGATGGTGGACTTTAGCTTCTCCAGGCCTGTGGCCAGCACTGACCGCTTCTCCTCAGCCTGCATGGCAGTGGGCAGGGGCTTCACTGGGTGGGGGCTGGATGTGACAAGACATACACATAGTCACACCACCACACTTGATACAACACCGCACTCTGACTCTTATATTTTATATCAAGTTTTTTTTCAGTTGAGGTTAGGTGAAAAACCCGGTTGCCATACTGGAGTTCCACAACTCTTGGATATATTTAACTTAAAAAAAAGCCAACTATGCTTCAACAATATACATCAGGACTATTTCTGCATGTGAAATGATGATCGCAGCTACATTAATAATAACCCAGGATTCTACAATATAAGTGTAATACTGGATTCTAGCACTTCAGCCCCAAACATCTTCTTAATAAACTAATGCAAGAAACCCAATCAGTCCGTAGCTTAAAAAAAAAAAAAAAAAAGGACTCACATCAGCCACATGGTGGCTGTGAGGAGCTATAGGCTGACAATAGTGCATTTTACTACTGTAACGAACAGAGACAAGAAAACCGTCTTGCTGCTTTGTTACACTGATTTGCATGCAGGGCAACAAACAGCCAAAAACTAGCCCTCTATTTGAGTCAGCTTAAAGGATCTTCTGAAACTCTACAGTTGACCTGCATTCATAGGAAATCTGAGTTGACTTGCTGAACTTTCATGCTCTCAATCAGCAACAAATCTTTCTTTATTCCAGGTATTGCAGGTTAAGCTGTTATTTAAACGCAACAGATTGGCCTGTGGACCTCCAGGGTGACATCAGGTGCTTAAGGACTCCTTGCTTTAAGTGATTAAGACCAGAGGAGGTTAGACAGGTGTAAGATGTCTTATTAAAAGAAGTAATGGTGAAAATTGAAAAGACCTTAAAAACCGAGAGACTTAATTGCATGCACTGGTGCAATCAATCATGTAGAATTGTATTAAATATGTTATTACCCGGAGGTGGAAAGGAAATGCTACCAGTGACAAAACAACACCTTTTGTGTCTTGCAAAAAAAAGCCTGTTTTTTGCTTGAGATTTTGGCAAATGAGGATGGCTGTGTGAGAACTCTAGCTGGCCCTGTGGGGAAAGGGGAGGTATGTGAGTGTTTGTGTGCGTTGTGCGTGTGAGTGTGTGTATTCGAAAGGGAGTTGGAGGTGTGTGGTAGGAAATGGGGCAAAATAATAACTGCTAATTGGCCTGAGGCTTTTTTTCCCCCTCCCGTTACCACAGCCAGGACACATGAAAGACACCTACAGAAGAGTTTTGTTAACACCAATGTTGTTGTGTGTGTGTTTTAACAAAGTGAAGAAAAAAGGGAAGATCACACCACAGGGATGAGACAGGATGTGCAGTTGGCGCAGAAGAAAAGCAGGCGGAAGCAGAGCGCCAGAAGGAGACCAAAGAGATGACAGGATAGAAATTTCTGCAAGTAGTCCTTCCTCTTCACCTCGTCACCAAGCACTGAGCATGTGCAACCTCACCTGTTCCGCTGACTGGCTGCCTGCTGCTGCTGCTGCTCTGCCTCCTGTTGCGGTGGCATTGGCGCTGTGGCTTGCGTTGAGCTGGGCGGTAACCTCGCTGAAGCGATGGCGAAGGGAGAGAAGGCAGGAAGCGCTACAGGGGAGCAAATACTTTCAGGAGCAAGAGAAGGAGCAAAGGAAATCAGAGAGGGAAGGTCGGGGCCTGGCTGAGACGAGGTGGAACCCTGTACCCCGCCAGGATCACTACCAAAAGAGGGTAGGAGGAGCTCGTCGAAGGGAGTTGCCAGTGTGCCCTCAGACTGGGAGCGGTGTAGTGTAACATTCTGTGTAGGAGCGCATATCGAGGACGTAGCATCCGAGACCTCACCAGCACTCTTCAGATTACAGCTCATAAAAGAGTCCGGCTGTGCTGCAGGGAATGATTGCAAGTCTCCTATTGGGAAGGTTGGCTCAAGAGTCGTCGTCTTGTCCTGAGCAGCTTGGGAAGATGCTTCAGATTTGTCAGTTTCCCCGATTTCCCCATTAGATAACTTGGATGCATTTGTAGAATCCATTAAGCCCAACGCAGCATCTGCAGTTGTTTTAACATCCTTCAGCTGCATCGTCTCATTTGGCTCAGAGACGCTGGAACTTTTGGAGGAAGAGTGAGACACGCAGGTTTGGTAATCCTGTGAGTCAATACTGACATTCAGACTTTGGAGAAAGCTGCTGGAGCTCTGATCAGATATCCGTCTGTGCAACTGAGTGTCATCAAAGTCTTGGCTAGGACTGTTTGCAATCTGACTGATGTTGAGTAAATCACCAAGGCTGCTAAATGGCACATGAGAATTGGGGCTAACATCCTGGCCTGCTAAATGAGCCCTCTCAAAGGGTTCAACCAATGAAGCCTGCTTGACATCAGGGGAGGAGGTTGTGATGTGTAATGATGGTAGTGTGGAGGATCTTTCTTGATCTGGAGTTGCAGGATTCCTCACTTTAATATTATTGTCTTTAGAGCCATCATTTAAATCTTTAGAAAAATCCTCTATAGAGACCTTTAAATCATTTATGTTTCTTTCTTGCCCTACATTGTCCGACTGTGAAAAGATGATGGACTTTAGTTGTGGTTTAGAGAGTTCAGGAAACAAGTCAGGGTATACAATATTAGAATTGTTACGTGTTTCAGCATCTACACCATCAGTTCCTATCTCCTCTGTGATTGATGGATGTGGATGCCCAAGTACTGTGGGCTGTGGTGCCAAAGACCCTGCTGAACCACTCAAGTCTACCTTTCCGCTATCCTTAGGCTCAATAACAGTTTGCTGAACAACATCAACTAAAGATAGATCATTTGACCTGTAAGTAGTGTCATCTTCAGATTCTGAGCCCCTTTTATTTTTTACATCCGTTGACCCAAAGATGTTGCTTTCAGTGTCTTCAAATGAGGATGCAGAGACTTTATCAGAATAAGAGGAAACACATGACAGAAAATCCTCTTCTGCTGAACTGCCGAGACCTGAAGAACTAGGATCTGGAGAGCTGCTGCTGAGTTGTACAGACGGGGTGCGGCAAGGAGCTCGACTCATGTTCGTGTCGGGTATTTCACTGGTAGCGCTGGTGTCCTGATTAGTTTCAGAGCAAGTGTTCAGTTTCAGAGAGTTAGTGGAAGTATTTAAAGTTACATCATTGTGCTCAAAACTTCTGTGTTCTGGGATTGTTTCAAGGAATTGTGGGAAAGTGTTATGGTAATGCATGTTAGTGTTGGTCACTTGGCTGGCTAGCTGATGATAATGCAGTGCATCAGTCACATTTGTGTTTCGATCGGCTTTATTATTGCAGTGTTCCAGCAGATGGTCGCTGGGTGGTTTTTGCTGCGTTTTGCAGCCTGTGGAGAGATCCTCAGGAGACTGCAGCCTGCCAGCTGCAAATGCTTCAAAGGATTCGTCCCACTCTGAATCCGGTTCCACACTGCTAACAGACATAAAAGGGTTGGATGACTTCTTGAGTAACGGTTTCTTTCCTTCCACGAGAGTTAGAGGAAGTCCTCTCATCCCAGCTTTCGTGACCTCTGTGCTGCTTGCATCAGCATCAGTGATGGATTCCTCGGCAGCTGAGTTGCCGTGGGTGAGGACAGAGTTAGAGTTACTCGGCTGTGGAAAGAGTTGAGCTATAGGGGGCCGGGAACTGGAAAGATAGGGCAGAGGAGGCGGTGTAGGTTTAAGTTGCTGAGTGGTTATCATGTCTTCATAGAAAGGGTTGTGCTGGATTAGAGAAAAGAAAGGGTTGGATTGTGATATAGGGGGTGGTGAGGTCGGTGAGTGGCAGAAAGGATTAGTATGGTGCAGGTTTGGAACCATGGAGGTATGCTCTACAAGGGGACCCAGAGGGTGGTGACTAGGTGGAAGAGGTGGTAAGTGGGGATCAGTGCTGGGTTCTAATTTAGGTGAGACCACCAGGCTGTGAAAGGAAGGCACACAGTCCTCTTGATTAGTTTGGATCATTCACACAGAATAACCGCACGCTGAAGAGGGCTTTTCTGTCTCAAATCACGATTTAAAGAACATACTTGTACAGAGTGCTCACATGAATCAAATCAGTCGAAGCTGCGGTCCCCTTTATTCTTTAAAACCACTACTAATTAGTATATAAACTGAAGTGGAAGAGTTTGCGCACACAATTTGAAGCCAGGAACACACATCAAAAAGCTGCAGCAAAGCAAACATAATGCCAAAAAACAAAGTGCATGACAGCATTAAGAAATTGAGAGAATCATATTGGGAATGTCCAACTGCTGTAATCATCTACTATAAAAATCTATAAAAACCTTTAAAAAAGCATGTTTGTTATCGTATTTTCCGCACTATAAGGTGCACTTAAAATCCTTTAATTTTCTTAAAAATCGGCAGTGTGCCTTATAATCCGGTGCGCCTTATGTATGGTAAGCTACCAAGCCGCACCGCTTGATGGATTGTCGGAGCATTATGGCTACCATAGTCAGGGAGCCTCGCGGAGTAATCTGGGTCCAAAGATCCGTTTACTTCAGGTTCTATAGTCAAACAAACACTGAGGCACACCGAGAGTTAAAAACTGCCTAAATCCTTTCATCTTTAATAAAATGATCAGCGTTGCTGCTTTACCAGGTGTAACAATTAAGTTTAACATCCTGGCATCCATGAAAACAGGATTTATTAAATTTAACAGGGTTAGAAGTTAGCAGAATGTTAGCAGGAAGTTAGCTCACTCCTTTTGCTTACCTATACCATTTTCTGACTGAGAGATTTCTGGAAAAAAATTAAAACTATCACTCTGCTCTGCTCTGCTATCACTTGCAACATAAATAAAGATAGAAAACTAAACAGCAATGACGTTTGTAGGGTTACTGAAGTTGGGCTAGCTGGTATATAATGCTGTGCTACGTGATCGCTAGCGACACAGCTATTTTAGCATAACATAAACACTGGAGGATGAATGCTAACCTTTTTCCACTCGATAAAAGTTAGTGTGTTTTTGACAAATGCAATCGCATGGAAAGATGGTGTAAACGGACCAAACTTCAGTCAGGAGAACGACTGAGATAATCTATCCACAATACGAGGTTAGTCATTAATGTAAGATAAGATAACCTTTATTAGTCCCACACGTGGGAAATTTGTTTTGTTACAGCAGTGGACAGTGCAAAGTTACATAGCAAACATTATAAGGCGTTTAATGCGCCTTATAATCCGGTGTGCCTTATGGTCCGAAAAATACGGTAAGTAAGACCTTCAGTTCCAGGTACACTTCATTGAAGACTTTAATTGAAAAAGCTGAATTAAAAAACAGATATTACTTTTTAATTGTTGACATCAGTCATATGCATGCACGTGTCTTCACGTCTTCCATCCAAAACACTTTGCATCTAAAACATTAATGGCCGTCTCTTCTCTGTTTTCATTGGCCCTTCATGTAATAATTTGCAAGAAACGTTGACGCAGCTAGGCGTAGTCATTGCTTAGCGCTAAATGCACCAACTTGGCACCTTTCTCAACTCCAGTATCTAAAAGCATGTGGGTGCGTAGGCTGAGAAAATGTATAGTTACAGAGGCAGCAGAAAGGCCCTGTGTGTACTATGGTCCAGAATAGCTGACCCCTTACTTCTACGAGCAGGTGCTTATCTGGCCAATATTTTGTTTACACTCTGTGTATGAAAATATTACGACATCGACTTATTTTTTTCCCCCCCACCTTGGTTAAGTAAATTGATTTAAAAAATTTAAATCATAAGTTTTGGGAGACCTGAATGAAAGATTAATAATGTATTTACTACTATTTACCACCGACAGCAGTGCAGAAAGTGCAGTAAGGCCTGTGACACCCCCAAAATAAATTACCCACTTAAATACAGTGGGGCAAAAAAGTATTTAGTCAGCCACCGATTGTGCAAGTTCCCCCACTTAAAATGATGACAGAGGTCAGTAATTTGCACCAGAGGTACACTT